GTGAATATGGGTCCATTCACCTTCCATGTATACCACATAAGATGCATCTATGAGATGGTTACATGTGCAATTATTATTAACTCGCAACATGGTATTTTGCGAGGTAACTTGCTCAATAGTTTAATTTCGAGCATAATTTCCAGATTTTCTATTCAAGGAGTTCATCTTGATAAGTTGGTTTACATCACAACCAGTTTAACAAAATAATTTATTGAGTGTCTCCACTTAATAGCTAAACTATTGCTTATGAGAACAAAGTTATATGTATCAGTTTGATATAGGTTATATACGAAAGTATATTACATTTTCCCCTCACAAATGGTTCAGGGTCAGGAATCAAATAATTCCATCTTATTATTATTGATGTGTAGTGTATATTGATTAACACCATAACGCACAAAGATGGGTTCTCAAAGTTGAGGAAACAAGTTAGTTTTTCTAACATGAGGGGGAGACGTGATAAACAGTTGAGAAAAAGTTACGTGGAATGAATTATCATGTGTATATCTAGATCCTCGAATAAAATAATATGAACTTGAAGTTCATAAAAGGATAATTCATTTGCAATATATTGCAAAGCATGCCAAACGCATTTGCTGGTCTAAAGAAAGTAACTATATTCTCATTACAAATGTTCCTATTAAGTCCTAGAAGGACAAAGTCTATGGTACGCTTAAAGCGTATATACTAATTGGTTTCAAATAAAACTTCTTGATAAAGAAGATGAGCAAATGATCAAAGTGATCATAATAAGGAGGCAAGTGATCTAGAAGATCACATGACATAACACTTCATAAAATCTCATGAGAGATTCAGGTACCTGAATATATGAATGAAGAGATCTCTATGTTATGTCTTTATGAAAAAATGTTGGAATCGATATAAAATGTTCGTCGACAACATCTATGATAGCGCTAAATATAGATGAGGATCTTAAGTCTGTCGCCTACAGACACAAAAATATTGGCCAAATGGAAGAGACACAATTCGAATAGAATTGGTTTCATATGAAAGACATATAATTTTGTCTATGTTGTTCAAATACTTGAAAGTATAAAGTCAATGGTATGTGCAATCAGTTTTCGATATCTTATATGTCTAGCATGACATAAAAACTTGATATGCATCTAAAGTTTGTTATATGGCTTATATGACTTAACTTATATGACAATCCATGAAGGATTTAAGTTGTTTGAAACATCAACAATTCTTGATCTTGAGGTACCACTTCCTCAGTGCAATTTGTGCACAAATGTATCTTGCTATAACTATTGGGCTTATTGTCTCCTTTCTTATCTTAAAAAAATTAAGCATGATAATATGATAGCAAGAGTTTTCACCTCTATGTGAAGATATTGAACTGACGATTCTAACAAGATCATATAAAGACAATACATCTTAGCTTCTACCAAAGATCTTTTGATGATGGTGCACAAGATTGGAATGCAGATGTTTAAAGATGTGAATTGATGCTCTCATCAGGGGGAGTTAATGTGCGTTACACTCTTTTTCCCTTACAATGTTTTGTCCCACTGAGTTTTCCTTGCAAGGTTTTTAACGAGGCAACCAAAAGGCGTATTATTAGATATGTGTACTCTTTTTCCTTTACTAGAATTTTTTTCCACTGGGTTTTATTTTAGTTAAAGTTTTAACGAGGCACATTATCTGTTGAATAGACATTCAAGGAGGAGTGTTATAAATAGAATTCTATTTATGGTGAATGTCTATATTTAGAGAGATTCTAGGGTTTATTACTTGGTGGCTAAGTCACTCTCTCCCTATAAATAGAGGGTTCTATTCCGATGTAAATCATCTCATATCAATAAGAATTTCCTCTCTCTACTTTGCTCTGCAATACTCTTATTCTTTTATTATTTTATAACAAGTAACAATTAAATTTGATTTGTGGTTTTAAAGATACGTGACTCAGTTCAATACCAATTAATAATCAAGAAGTATAAAGTATAAATGAGAGAAATAAGTGAATCAAACCAGTGTTACTTAAGTAATATCGACCTCGAGCACAGTGACCTCGAGATAGGTTAAGGACAATAAGGCAAGAACAATAAAGCAAGAACAGTAAAGTAAGAGCAATAGAGCTAAATGATAGTTCTGATGAACAATGAGCGAGAAAAGTAGGATAGTATATTCTTTGCAAATGATTGGGGTCCCCTTTATATAATAGGGGAACCCTAAACAAGGTACATTTCTATTTACAGTAAGGAATCTTATTGGGACAACTGTATAACCGCCTAGTACGGATTGTACTAATTCGTACAAATCTATTCCGGAATTTACGCCACGATCTTGGGTACGTGGTAGGAATCTTGTCCTTCTATAACAAACTCATAATGGCATTATCTCGAGGCCAGTCACGTTCGGCCTCGATGTTCATCGGACACTTTGATCTTTGAAGCCTCCCATCGGTCTCGATCCTGGTCTATTTCGATCTCGTTCTTGAAGTGACCCTCGAGCCCACAAAATCGGGTAGCCCTGATTTCTATCGTATACAGATAGTCCCCGTATTTCTTAGATTAACGACAAGAAACGAATTGAGTCCTTGATATTTACCCCGATTTGCCACGACATCATCATCGTAACGTAAGCGACTGAGGAAACGAAAGCTTGGAAGTTGACCTTTCCCGAGGAAAACTCCGAGAAATTTTAGCGAGTCCGGCAGCAGGGAAAGTTCTGAGGGCGAAGACACTTCTGCCGATAAGGACCATGTTGCTTAGGTTTTGTGCTCTTAGTAATTTTTTTGCTTTTGAGGCTGATCGACCCTTGCAAGGAACTCTTGATCGTGACCTATATATCTTGTAAAAAGGTTTATACAAAGCCTGTTTCCTTCCATGGCTTCTGAATCTGTTACCCTTTTGTGCGGGTCAAAGCGCCTTATCATAAAATTCCTTTTGAATGTCTAAAGTTTGAGATGGTGATGACCGACAATAAGTTCTGCCCTCGAACGTTTCTGATCAATGGTCCCCGAGTGACCATTCGAACTTGAGTTTGAGTAGCTCTTAGGTTTAACAATTGATGAGGTAAGGTAGCCCTTGGGCTTGATAGTTGAGTAAGTGCACGCTCGATCTTGAAATGAAAATAGACCTTAGACCTTACGGCCAAGTGAGGACATGCTCGAACTTGAGATGAGGTGGCCTTTAGGTTCGAAAGATAGTCCCCGAGTGAGAATTTTCTCGAACTCGGGTAGCCTTTGGGTTTAGTAGTTGAGTGAGTACTTGCTCGAACTTAAAATGAAAACAGCCATTAGGCTTTATAGTCGAGTGAGGATTTGCTCGAACTCCCAGTAAAGTTAGCCCTTGGGTTTTATGGATAATCCCCGAGTAAGGGTTTGCTCGAACTTGGGTTAAGATAGCCCTTGGGTTTTTATGATCGAGCGAGGACTTGCTCGAACTCGAAGTAGAGTTAGCCCTTAGGCTTCATAGATAGTCCCCGAGTGAGAATTTTCTCGAACTCGGGTAGCCCTTGGGCTTAGTAGTCGAGTGAGTACTTGCTCGAACTCGAAGTAGAGTTAGCCCTTAGGCTTCATAGATAGTCCCCGAGTGAGAATTTTCTCGAACTCGGGTAGCCCTTGGGCTTAGTAGTCGAGTGAGTACTTGCTCGAACTCGAAGTAGAGTTAGCCCTTAGGCTTCATAGATAGTCCCCGAGTGAGAATTTTCTCGAACTCGGGTAGCCCTTGGGCTTAGTAGTCGAGTGAGTACTTGCTCGAACTCGAAATGAAAATAGCCCTTAGGCTTTATAGATAGTCCCCAGGTGAGGATTTTCTCAAATTCGGGTAGCCCTGGGGCTTAGTAGTCGAGCGAGTACTTGCTCGAACTCGAAATAAAAATAGCCCTTAGGCTTTATAGTCGAGTGATGATTTGCTCGAAGTAAAGTTAGCCTTTGGTGTTCATCGGACACTTTGATCTTCGAAACCTCCCATCGGGCTCGCTCCTGGTCTATTTCGATCTTGAAGTGACCCTCGAGCCCACGAAATCAGGTAATCCCGATTTCTACCGTATACAAAAATATTTTTCACCCTGTTTTGGAATTTTACAATTCTTATGTCCAAACGCCCACTAAATTTCAAATACCATTTTCACTTGAATTTTTTTTCCACCTTTTTTTGGAATTTTACCATTCTTATGTCCAAACGCCCTCATAGTTAGTTTCTTTTAGGATTAATAGGTTTGAAGGTGTCCAAATCGAAGTTTTACTGGTGTATCAAAAGGGGGGAATATACTAAATTTTGTAAGATAAAATTAAGCCAAAAGATTAAATGTATGGTAATCATTGAAAATTTATTACTTTCACAAGAATATGGTTGAGCATCATAGGCTTAAAAACATTGTCTAATTAATAGCTTGACGGCGTGCATAGACTATAAAAGAAGATAGATTTGTTGTTTGATTGGAACATCGAATATTATGCCAAAATTCATTTCTCATACATAAGATAGAAAAAAGTATAAACATAAATGATTATAACTTTAAAATACCTACGTACATCATCCCATGTTAACTTGAAGCACTCCTATTCAATCACAATTGATATATTGGAAAGGGGAATTAATATGGCTTGAGCTTTGTTTGTGCTTTTAGCTCTCCCTTTTAGAAACCCAAATTCAGTTTATTGAAAATTTGAAGTAAATTACTACCTTTTGTCAAAAAAATTCTTAAAAAACGTGGTTTTTGGGTTGCCGCAGGACTAATTCCACAAGGTACCTGCTGTCTTTCCGCAACACAATTACGAAGTAACTTTTTCCACCAAAGCATAGATAGATAGATGAGAAGAAATAACTAGAGTTTTGCCTTCTGTTTTTGAAGTTAATATTGGAAAATTTATGGACAATTCTAATTCTAACATTAAGGATAGACCCAAAACCAAAAGAGTTAGTACTTAGATATTGAAGGAGTAGAATTGCTTCATTTTTGAAATCTGGATATGCAGGGTAAGTTTAGTTGCATCATCTATGTATCAATGCAATCAAAGAAGACAGACAGAATAGTTTAATTGACAGAACTATTTCAACTTATATTCTTTTCTTTGTCCAGCTACAAGTTGTAACCAAAACTTGATATCTCTACATTTGATGCACTAAAAGCATGATAATCACTACATTTGGAATACTCCTATCTATGAGGTTATATCTATTTTATTCTATGACCCTGTTTACAACTTGCCCCAAATACACTCTACATAGAAGCAAGTCTTGAAACAGCCATGAGACGGGTTCTTGCCTTGCCTCCTCTGTGTCTGCTAATTTTTTGTATCTCCTCGATACTGTATTTTATCGGACAAGCATCCTTATATTTGACACATCTTAGTCCTATGTTGAGAGTATACATATAGTACATCTCCTAGCAGCAACCCCCCCCCCCCCNTCTCTTAGCAGCAACCTCCGATCATTGCACCTGGATGGTTGAGGTGTTCCAAGTTTGAGTTGCTTCGCGCTTCATAAATAGGGCATAGAGTAGCTCATTCCATGTATCTGGGACTCCCGGCAGGCACCAGTGGCTGCAATCTTGCCTATTGATAGGCGCGGGGCCTACCTCAGGACCCAAATAGTACATAGATGAATGTCCATCTTTTCTTCTGGAGGTCAGATGTGTTACGTTTAGAACATGTAATGCTCCTAGATTTGATGTGTTTGAGCGAGTTGACATTACATCACGAAATATACTGTATCGAGCCCATGTGTGGGGTGGCACCAATGAAGAGCCTAAATCTGGAAGTGCCTCCAGGTGACAGCTTCCCCCGGTTCTCCAGTCTCCACCTCTGCAAATCACGCAATATATAGCTTTGTCAATAACCACAGGCTATCACCAAAACAAACGGAAATGATCATATCATCAAGGTTAACAACTAGGTGAGGGAGCAGAAGTTTTTTTTTTTCTTCCTACAGAACCCCCTGCCTAAAAACAGGTGCCCACATATAAGAAAAATGAAGGGGAAAAAGGAACTATAAAAAAAAAAAAAAAAAAAAAAAAAAAAAAAAAAAAAAAAAAAAAAAAACCTAAGAGCTAAGCCATCCCCCCCACTTTGGTTTCTTCTTCTCCAAACCTTCNAAAAAAAAGACAACCACTCAGGAAACAACATAAAAGAAGACTGTGTTTTTTAATATAGAAATTAATATAGGGTAAAAAAGAAGACTATCTGTTGAAAGGTCAGCGTATTCGACTAATGAACAGAAACAGGGTTCATTCCCTTTGGAGCACTAAAGAAAGCTCTAGAGCGCACAAAAAATTGGTATTTCTGCTTATGCTTTGAAGTATAGAACAATCTGTCAGAAAGTGCTCTGACCAATAGCCAACTCCAGTGCCAAGTCACTCGACCATAGATGTTACATGTATAAGTCCATTCTATTGAGGGCATATTCGTGTCTTATGATCCTCAAGTAGCACAAACTCCGGGTTTGTCAACATGAGGGTATAGTAAAGCTTAAGATCACTAACCAGGTAATGTCATGACTGCAAGGTGAGTAGAGGTGCAAAGTGTTTAACAATTATAGGTCTAAAGAACAAATTAGCAAGGACAAAGAAGCTTGGAACCAACCTGAAATGTACCGGGGCATACGTTCTAAAGTAGACCTGGGTTTTATTGGAGTTTACTTCACGATTTACCCAGTCTAACACCGTTTGCAAAGACCTCTCATAGGCAGTATCCACTCTCATATCCATCTTCACCTCTGAGCCCTCTTGGAAGTAACAACCCCTGAAAACATTTTCATATTGCAGTTTAACACATAAGATAGCACAATATCACAAACGATGAAGACAATGTCCACATCAAAGACACTGCTTAGTTTCAGAATGGCTCTATACTAACAACATTAACAGTTCATATTGAGAAGCATAAGACGATCGAAAGGGAAAACAGGAGTTCTTCTAAGTGGAGAGAGGTACCCTCTTATGGTCTTCTCATAGTTCCACCAGTGCCCAGTATTGAAAACAATGATATCTGCATCCCTCCATTTTAAAGAGTTCCAATCCATTTTATCTAACTTTAGAGTTGTTCTTATATTGGCCGGGGATCCAGCAGGAGGTCGGCTCTGCAGCACAAGAAACGGAGCCCTATAGTATTCCACAGTGCAATTGTAATCAGCAAACTTGAAGACCAAAAACCCTTTGTGTTTTGTGATAGGACTGCCATTTACTTCATAGATTGTGTCCTTGTTGACTATAGCTGAAGAAAGGATGCAAAGCAAAGACTCCCACTGGTTTCTCCCAATTGAGTCTCCAGCAAACACTATACGTTTATTCCGCAGTTTCTCTAGCATGGTCCTGGGATTAAATCTGTTTCAAGGATTGAAAAGGTAAATCTCTAATTTCCTTGATTGAATTGTGACTTTAAGACCAAGTGATAATATCTATGCATAAATAAATAAGAAAAAAGAAATATCAGGATCACATCTAGAAAGACGTGCCAGAAATAAATCAAGAAATGTACTTCTCCAAGAAAACAATAAAATAGTTAAATAGAGCATTCAAACTTATCAAAGCATAAGTTAAATGCAGCATTCAAAAGTTTCCTGCAAATTAAGCAAACGAAATCCTTTTCTCTTATTTCCAGTAATCCAAATTGAAACTAGAAGAGATCTGAATAAATCATATTAACGAAATAATTTCTTGGACCAAAACACTTGAAAACTTAACAACTTCATAATATAATCCAATATCTTTTAGTGTTGTTCATAAACATGGAGCAAAAGGAAATAACAATGACGNCTTATAGACTATTAATAATTCATTCTAGGGCAATTACAAGAGTTGAGAAATGCTGTCTAGAAATCACAATCATGTCATTTTCACATAATGTTATATTGTTAAGTCGTGTGGATTTATGCCATTATAAATGCTAAAAATAATACACATACACAAAGCTAAAAGAAGGGACAATTTTACAAATACAAATTTCATCAAAAACATGTGTCACCAGAAAGCAGCCCAAATTGACATGTCCAATGCTAGTTTTTTTCCAAAATATAGCAAATAAAAATAAACTCAAAATACAAACACTATTTCACAAACAGAATTCAAGATACGCTAACTTTCACAAAATTAGGGTAAAATGTAAATTAAAAATGCAAACTTTGGATAAAAAAACCTGGGCAAATTGCAATGTTTAGGCTGCCATCTCCATTTTGTATAGAACAAATCAGGCCTTCCATTTTCAGTGCACCTGAAACCTTCATCTAAGAATTTACAATCTCTAGAATTATACAAAGGATAACTGTCATCCCAAACCCAATCACCATCAAACACATTACAAACACTACCATTTTCACTCAAAAAATCAACTCTTTTACTCTCAGCAATATTATTATTAGGCCTATTAAACCTCAACCATAAAAACCTCTGAGACTCTGCAGAAAATTTCAAGACTTTAGCCACACTTCTGTAATCCAACAAGGCAAAGCACAAAACAAGGCATATAACTAAGAAGAATCCAAGAATGCTCAAAGAGGGCTCAAAAAGCCTGAATCTCTTCATTTTCTTAACAACAATCAAGAAAGTAACTTTTTCATACTCTTTCTGAGATGGGGTTTCAGCCATTGTTGTGAATTTCTTGATAAAAATACAAACTTTATAATTAAAAAAAAATTAGTAAAGCAAAGAAGAGTTGTGGGGTTCAAGCAAGAATGAAGGGGAAATAATCATAACAAGTTTGTTCGAATCATTGTTCTTTTATCTTGGTTCTTTACTTGCTAAAAGAGTAACACAAGAATTATTAAGTTTGGTGTTTTTTTAGTAAAGATTAGTTAGAAAAGAGATGGGCGTGGAGAAAGCAAGGTATTAAACATGGAAGAATGAAAATGGAGAAAAGGGGAAAAGAGTTGGGTGAAAGGGGAAGTGATGAGTGTAGTTTGTATTTGTAAGGGGTGGCACTAGTAATGAAGGGTTAAATTTCAAATCTAGTAATAAGGATCTTAAAATAATAATACTGCATTTATGGTATGGAATTTTTTAACTTATTTCAAATTTTACCTGTTAACTGTTTTAAAAAATTCAGAAACTGGCAAATTCTGTCCAAACACATTCTTGAAGAAATAAATGCAAGAGAAAAGGGAGAAATTTCCTACATTTTAGCCGGTAAAAAAGTTTACTTGTGTTTACACATAATCAATGAATAAAAAATAAATTATTTTTCATGCATATAAGTAATACTATTATTTTTTACTCTAATTTTTTACTACTAAAGTTAAATTATTTGATGTAATAATTTTTTACCTTAATTCTGGTAAAATATTTTTTCTATTTTGAAAATTGGGAGTACTAGTTTTCAAGGGAAAGGACATGAGTTTAGCAAAGTAAGTATTGTTACACAAAGAGGGACTTCAATATATATAAAAGTTACCTTTCTATTAGAAAGAATAAAATCTAGATTTAGACAATCTTTGTGATCTCGAATATTTGGTAGAATCTATATATTATATTAATAGGAGAGTAGTGAAGCATGAGGTTAAGTCAAGTGGCAAGCTAAAAAAAAGTCACTTGACAATTTTAAGACAACATTAAAAATTTGAATTATAAATGAAAACATAATTAATGGAAGTAGTAATTCAATAAGAATTATTTTTTAATTATAATACAAATCGCTATTAGTAGTATAATTTAGTTAATATTTTTTTGTATAATTATGGTAGGGATGAAATAAATTATGGTAGGGACGAATTTTAATAATTGATCAAGTTTTGTAACTGACCTCATTTTGGTACAATATACATTACTATAGGTATCTTTAATTAAAATTTTATGCATAATTCAGTTATGGTAGGTATCCTTTTTTGAGAAAGAATCAATTAAATTTTCGTTTTGTATCTTACACATTAATTTTAAGTTGAAATAGTAATTCTTTATTTAGTACAAACTTTGTGTCTAACCTTATTTAGGTGCAATATACATTACTGTATGTATCTTTAATTAAAATTTTGTGTATAATTCAGTTATGGTAGGTATCTTTTTTGAGAAAGAATTAATTAAATTTTTATTTTGTATCTTACACATTAATTTTAAGTTGAAATNTTGAATGTGATAAAAGTGGATATTAAATTCAAGTAAACTAATAAAAAGTATATGACAACGTTAATAATAGTAAGTATTGAATATACAATAGCAAAATGAGAAACAAACAGAGAAAAAAATCAAAATTTCTATCATAAATAACAAATAAGGATAAAACTTATTTAAATTTGATATAAATTTTTTTTTTAAGTATGATAAAAAATGGTCATGATGTGGATAAGGCCACATAACTAAAGTTTAATAGATTAAAAATATTTAAAAAAATCAAAATATTAATATTAAGAAATAGAAGGAAATAAAATAGTTTAAAAAATAAAATAAAATAAATATATAATGCTTACAAATATTATTAATAAATTTAGACAACTTGATAATTTTGGGTATTAATTTTAAATAAAATAAATATTTATTTCAAGATTAAAAAATAATACATCGATTTATATAATAATATTAAAGGATATAAACAGATTATTGTATTAAATAAAGAGGCATGTTAATGAAAGCCACATAAGAAAATAAAATACTATATATTAGGTAACTTAATAGCAATATTCAAAAATTTAAAAATATTTAATATTAGAAATAGAAGGGAAAGACGATTGAACTTGAGATTTAGATTAAAATTATGGTGAAACGCTCAAACTATGGATAGGACTACAAAATTAAAATTTTACTAGATAAAAAACTAAAAATTGTATAACAAATTAAAACTAAGGAAATACAAAATAAATATCTCATGTGGGTAATTTTATGAACGAAAATTAAAGTCTATTTGTATCCTAACGTTAAAAGAGAAAGAAAATTTAATTACACGTGATACAAAAATAATTATAAAAAAATTCAATAGATTTAAAATATAATAATAAAAAAAATTATCTATTAATATTTTAAACTAATTCAAAGTTATAACTTAAAATAAAATGTGATATATATATTTTGTTTATTGGTAAAATATTAATGTAAAAAACTAATTAAAAATTCATAGTAGGGAAGAGGATGTATAAAGAGGAAAATAGAGATAGTGTGAAAATATTTATACTTTGAATTAATTAAGTATAAGTATATTAAATAATTAAATAATACTCAAAACTATTATTGAAAGATTTAAATGAAAATAGAGTTCCAAGTAAGAGGATAAAAGTACAAAAATAAGTTAAATTTTAGGAATAAAAAAATTTATATTTATATATGTTTATCAAAAGGGTAATAAGCAAGATATCAAATCAATTGGTAAACTAATAAAAGATCACATGACTATAACACTATTAAGTAATAGATAATGCAATAACTATAAGCAAAGATTAAAGAGAGAGTTATTTAGGGTGAAAATGTAGAAGGATAAGACTTATTTGAATTTGCGGTGAAACATAAAGTGGTAGTAAGAATTTTGTTAAATAATATGCTCAAACAAGACATATCACAAATGTGATATGTTTAGTATTATTTAATATTGACCATAAAATAAAATACAAGCACTAAATCAAGGATTTAGATTGTTACAGATATAAAATAAAAATATAAATAAAAAGAAACATGTTATCTGGAAGTTTTAAATTTTAGGTAACTCCAATAACTCAAATTATAATTTGATATTTGTGTCCGCGCATCACGCGGATACTAATACTAATTTATTATTAGTAAAGAATGTTATAGGTTACTCCAATACTGTGTCAAAAGTATAACTCTTACGATTATAGGTATTTAATTTAACTCAATCTCCCCAATATAGGAAAATGAGGATTAAATCTCTTCATTCCTTTATTGTTTAACTAGTATTAGTATTCGCGCGGATGCACGGACATTAATCATGCCAAATATTTAAGTTATTTGGATTGTATTTTAGTAATCTTAAAATTTACACTTTCTCAGTAAATATAGATAATCATTGGATATTAACTACATAAAAAAATTAACCATTTCTTCTATTTTTTTTATACCATTCTTGCCGATGTCATTGGAACCTAAAAATAGTCAGGAAGCAAAATAATAACTCATATTTATGGCAAAACAATCAAATGTTGAGACAATGAATGACTGTTTAGATAAGACTTAACTCTTTTACTACTACTTGAACTCTTATTTGGTGTGTTGATATCTCTTAAAAAATATTTCTTTCTTAAAATTTCAGTTACTAAAACATATTTTTTCAATAATAATTATTTTTATAATAATGTAATTGAAAATATTATTCTTAATTCAAAACTCATTTTAGTTGGTTATCTAAAAATATAAAAAATTCTTTAGCTAGTGAATTTTTTACTCCATTTTGATAGTTAACATTAACCATGTTAAATATCTGAGTTATTTGAATTATATGTAAATAACCTTAATATTTAAACCTTCTAAATAATTATAGATAATCGTCAGATATTAATTAAGAAACACTACGTGAAAAAAGACTAATATTTTCTCAATTCTCGTAGTGATAATTTTATTTTTGCACTATTCTCACAGGTGTCATTGGAACCTACAAATAACCACAAAGTGAAATAATAACTCAGATTTATGGCAAAGCACAAAGGTTAACACGATATAAACGATTCTTTGATTACGACGTGACTCTTATACTACGATTTGAACTCTTATTTGGTATGATTTTATCTTTCAAAAAATATTTCTATTTTGAATTTTCAATTTCTAAAACTTCATATATATTATAATAATGATTATCTTTATAATGATGCAAGTGAAGATATTATCATTAGTTTAAAATTTACTTTAATTAGCCATCTAAAATTTAAATGATTTTTTGGCAAGATTTATTTCAGCATGACTCCATTTTAAGTTTATCGATATTTCTAGCCCCAGAATTTGAATTTTTAATACCCTATATATACAAAAATTTTGTTCTTTGAATCATTAAATGTTAAATTAGTTGAATATTATTATAAAACATTGCATATATTGTCTTAAAATTGTCAAGTAGTTTATTTTTTGTCACGACCCGGATTTCCCACCATCGGGTGTCGTGATGGCGCCTACTATCGGAGCTAGGCAAGCCAATTATTTAAAACACCTTTCCTGCATTCTTTCAAACAATATAATAAACGAGACAAAATTTAAGCGGAAGACTTTAAATCTAAAGCAACAGAAAACCAAAAGTGCGGAAGTTTAATACACATCACTACCCAAGGTCTGGTGTCACTAGCTCACGGACTACTACAGAATACTACAAACAATGTCTGAAAGGAAATACATCATGTTTGTCTGATACAAGATGAACAAACGAAAAACATGGAAAGGGACTTCGGCCTGCGAACGCCAGCTAGGCTACCTCGAGAGTCCCTGGACTGAAGATAGCTCCCAGAAATCCTACTGCTGTGGTCCGTAAGCTGCTCCCTGATCTGTGCACAAAAATT